CGTGTCACTCCCTCCCACTCACCTGTCCCTTGCTCCACAGCAAATGGGGAGCACCTCACCTGCAGCGTCCAGATACACTGTACCGCCCAACATGCCGGCCCCCCACTCCTGACAACCCCTCTCTCTCCGTGTCTCAGGTGTGTGTGTGCTTGTAACCACACTGTATCGAACCACGCTGTATGTAACCACTCTGTATGCAACCACTCTGTATGCAACCACTCTGTATGCTTGTAATTATGCTGTATCCTTGTAACACGCTGTATGCTTGTAATTATGCTGTATCCTTGTAACACGCTGTATGCTTGTAACCACACAGTATGCTTGTAACCACTCTACATGCTTGTTGTAACCACACTGTATGCTTGTAATCACGCTGTATGTTCGCGCGCACTGTCTGCTTGTAACCACGCTGTATGGTTGCACTGTATGCATGTCAATCATATGCCACTCGTCATCCCTCTGCTTTCGCACCTTTCCTCCCTTGTTTCCTATCCTCACCTGCTTCTCATCCCATTGCATTCCATCCCATCCCACTCCACCGCACTCCACCCCACCGCACTCCACCGCTATCCACCGCTCCCCACCGCCTCAGGTGCGTTGGTGGCGAGCCCAGGCCACACGGTTCCTCATGCGCTGGCCCTCCCTGCACCTCTGCCACGTCACCAACCTCATCCGCCACGTCAGCATCAGCCACCACGTGGCTGCCAGGCTGGCATTCTTCGAGGACACGCAGGCGGAGATCATAAGAGACGTGGCTGCTGACACAGCAGGGGAAAGCGCCAGGTCAGATGTGAGGAAGAGCAAACAGGCCAAGGACCTGCAAGGCATGGAGTTGGGTAAGGGGGTGGAGATAGAGAGTGCAAGCAAAGCTTCTTGGGCCACTATAGGGGGAAGGTGCAGTGTGTGTGAGGAGGAAGGGTGGAAAGGGGATTTGATGGGAGAGGATGGGGAGGTGGGAGAGAGTTGGGATATGCAAGCAGGGGTGAGTAGTGGTAATGTGAAGAAGGCGGGGTTGGAGAAGAAAGAGAAGCACGTGCTGTACTATGTGCAGAAGCACAACAACCTCGTCGTTGGCGTGGGTCGAGAGCCGTACGTCATGCGGCCGCTGGCGAGTCTGGTTCTAGGGGGTACGTCTGGAGAGGGGAATGGAGAGGGGAAGGGAGCATCAAGGGGGGACGGAGGAAGAGAGGTGGGGACGGAGGTGGAAGGGAGGAGATTAGAGGAGGAAGGGGATGAGGGAGTGGAGGGGGAGGGCGGTGCAGAGGGGAAAGGTGGAGAAGAGGGGAAAGGTGGAGCAGAGGTGAACGGTGGAGCAGAGGTGAAGGCTGAAGGAGCAGGAGCAGGAGGGGCAGGAGGAGGGGGAGGGGGCAGTGAGAGTGGCATGGTGAGTGCGCTCATGCATCAGGTGCATCAGCTGCGACTGGTGGAACCCCATCTGGCCCACGTGTGGCTGCACACGCCCTCTCAGGTGGGTCTTCTCCCAGGTGGGTCTTCTCCCAGGTGGGTCTTCTCCCAGGTGGGTCTTCTCCCAGGTGGGTCTTCTCCCAGGTGGGTCTTCTCCCAGGTGGGTCTTCTCCCAGGTGGGTCTTCTCTCAGGTGGGTCTTCTCCCAGGTGGGTCTTCTCTCAGGTGGGTCTTCTCCCAGGTGGGTCTTCTCCCAGGTGGGTCTTCTCTCAGGTGGGTCTTCTCCCAGGTGGGTCTTCTCTCAGGTGGGTCTTCTCTCAGGTGGGTCTTCTCTCAGGTGAGCAGGTCGGAGCACTGGTTTGCTCTACGTTGACTCCTTACGCTCGCTTCATTCACGAGTGCGTGCACTCCTGCTTCGCCCACTCGTCTTTCAATTCCTGCCACTTTCACCTGCCACTGTCACCTGCCATCACCTTCCCTCACCTGCCATCAGCCTGCATGTTACAGCGACTCCACCTGCATGCCACTCCACCTGCATGCCACTCCACCTGCATGCCACTCCACCTGCACGCCACTCCACCTGCACGCCACTCCCAGTTCATCCCACTCCGCCGGCGCCGCCCCTCTCGCATCCACTCTACCTAATTGCTCGGCCCCTGCCCTGCTCCCCATCTCCACCCTACCATCCCCACTCTCCCATCCCCCGTCCCCTGTCTCACACCATTTATCCCCCGTCCCCTGTCTCACACCATTTATCCCCCGTCCCCTGTCTCACACCATTTATCCCCATCCCCTGTCTCCCCTGTTGCTCAAAACATTTTCACCAGTCTCTAATAACCAAGGTATCCAACTACCGTGATTGGACGTTTCTCCATTCCACCAATCAGACAAGCCCTGCGCCCACCGCACTCCAAGACTCAGGAGCAGCCGTGCCGACAGCAGAAGCAAGGGCGCTGGCAAGTCTGTTGGTGGCTTCTCAGGGCGATTTCTTTGTGGGCGGGCTCCGGTCGCACTGGGGAAGGCTGGTCAACGAGTTGCGCTCCACTAATGGCCGCCTCTTTAATGTTTTTGTCGCCATGGATGACGATGAATGGTGATACCGTAGTTGCCGGTAGTTGCGCACACAATTAACAGAGGTCCCATGGTTCACAATTCGGCTGTTGTCGCAATACCGTAATTTCCCGAATAAAAGACCTCCCAAAATTAGGAGACTTCTGGGTCTTCAGTACTTCATTATAACCCCCCTAAGAGGAACCCCTGCAGCAGGCGCTGCTGCACCAATCTCTGGAATCCAGAACCTTCCTTGTACCGGTACTGCTAGATGGTGTAGCTTCTTAAGTCTGGGAAGAACCAGCCATGCAGATTGTGCCTGGTAAGAACAACCCTGTAGGTGTTTTTTTGGAGTTTTTTTTAGATTAACAGCCATAAGACAATGCAAGCACAAACCCACAAAGCATAACCCTCATAACCCTGCAGTGCAAACACCACAATTTGATCCCCATAAGCACACAATGGAAGAAACCCACAAAGCAAAAGCCCATAGGAATGCAAAGTATATGTAGCATGAATCTTGCCGTAAAGTTGCTAAGTATCTGTTGCTCTGGACTGGAGAATGCAACAACCAAGGAAGGCTTCATGCCGAGCATGCTAGGCTCGAGAAGGAAGTGCCGATACCCTGCCGAACCCATTTGCCCATTCGCCTGTGTTCTCTGCACCAGGATTTAAAGAGTGGAACAAGAGTATTTGAAACGTAGTTTTATGGGGATAGAAATAGTTTTGCCGTTGTAGAGAGAGTGGATGGATGGGAAAGAGCAAGGCCAGGGGCGCATGACATGTGGCTTGGTCCAAACTGTCATGGCATGACATGACAGAAAAACAAGCAGCTAGGCATGACATGACAGAAAAACAAACAGCTAGGCATGACATGTGTCGCGTTATTAACGCCTAGCCAGCAGGCTAAGGCGTGAATTACACAGCAGCCAGGTAATTGTGCATTTCTGGACTTGTACTCTAATTTCTTTTGTGTGCGTGGTATGTACTGTACATACGCTTTACAGAGCCGAGTGCAGGGAAATTCGAGGAGGTTGGTACAGAAGAGGGAATTCGATTCCAGCTGGGAATTCGATTCCAGGTTGGGAATGCAATTCCAGCTGGGAATGCGATTCCAGGCTAGGAACTCGATTCCAGCTGGATTGCAGTGCATGCCTAGTGGGCCCAGTGGGAGCTAGCTAGTACCTAGGAGCCATCACGAGCAGTGCAGCTGACTCGCGTCTGGCACTAGAGTTAGCGTGCTGCAGGAGGAACCTAGGCAGGAGGAGGAGGGAATGTAGTCGGGGGGAGCACTCAGGTCTCTCGCTTTTTGCTTGTATGTTTCTCTTTTTACTGCAATCTTGTTTTCCTAAGCCAAAGGAAGCTAGCAGTAGGGAGAAGCAGGAGCAATCTGACGGAGCCCTTGCGAGGGGGTTTAGACTTGTTCATACAAGCAAAAAGGTTGCAGTGCTGAAATTTCAGCAGAACAGGTACGAACGCCTGGAGGACCTGCGGTGATGCACCGTAAGGGATGAGCGGCCTTGATCAAGAATTACATACTCATCAGCTGCGTTCAGGTCACAGATTTCCTGCGCGGAGGATGGAGGGGCAAGCCCTGCCGACTAAGACGCCTGGGTTCCGAGCAGAAGAAGGAACAGCGAACGCTAGTGGTAATAGCAGCGCGGATCCAGGAAAGGAGGGCGACCGACGGGAAGAGCCTCCACTGGGCTCTAACTGCAATTCGCCAGCGCCAGGGATGGGATCTTAATCAGCCAGGGTTGGAGGATCTCAGCGTGGAACCCCAGAACCGAGAGTGGGAGACCATCAGGAAGATCAGCGGAGCCAGCGAGAAGGAGAGGCGTTTCACGGATCCTCTGCTGGAAGATGCGAATCCAGGGAGGCCGGTAGAGGAGATCAGCATGTGGGGATTGGCGAGAGGGGAACGGCGAGCTGGGGAACGGCGAGCTGGGGAACGGGCAGAACGATAAGTGCAGCTCCACCTAAGATTGAAGTGCCGGATCGCTTCTCAGGAGCGCCTGGAGAGGAGCCCACGCTGAAGAATTATCTTATGATGGTGGATGACATCCGATACTGCTGGGAGAGGGAGGGGCACGATCCCATTGAATTCTTCAGAGGATTGGGGAGAACGCTCAAGGGGGAAGCGTTGACGCATTACCGGGTGGAGAGACAAGGGTTGTTGCTGCAGAGTAAGCGGGGAGACTTCGCGCCGGCGGAAATCACCGACCGATTCCTGGAAAGCCTGCGAGAACAATTCCCGGGACATTCAGCAGATCGGATGACAGAGTTCCAAGATTTTAAGAGAGCGAGAGGAGAATCTCTGCTAGCGTACTATAATCGACTGATGGAGCTGGCCGAAGACATGGGCTGCCTGGAAGAACGGACCTTGGTGTCGAAGTTTGTGGGTGGATTGGATGAAGACCTGATGCAAGATATGCGGAGCCGACTGTACGCGCTGGGGATGAAGGCGAAATTGCGACAAGTGTATCAGGTGGCGAAAGAGGTAGAGGAGGGAAGAAGGTTCATCGATGGGTTACGCGGAGCGAGCTCAGGAAGATCAGGCGAACGCAGGAGGCCGGCGTGGGCTGCGGTGGAAGGAAAGCGGATGGAAGAAGAACGGAGAGAAAAACCATTTGAAGACAAGCGACGGTGTCACAAGTGCGGGGAACACGGGCATCTGCGAAAGGATTGCGCCATCGACATCATATGCGACATCTGCAAAGAGAAAGGGCATTTCAGGCGGAATTGTCCCAAGGCGCCGATCTGCACCTTCTGTAGGAAACGGGGACACACGGAAGAAAGGTGCTACAGCAAGAAGGAGAAGGGGGGAGAAAAATCCGCTAGAGAACAGCAGTTGGAGAGGGAGTTAGCAAAGCTGAAGGCGCAGATGGGTAAGGTGGAGATCAGCGAAGACCCGGAGAAAGCGCTACTAGCTTGGGAAGACGAGGAAGAGGAAGATTACGGGGAGGAAGAAGCTGAGTATGGGACAATGGCCATGTCGCCCAGGGACCGAGAAAGTTTGGGGTTGAGAAGTGGAGGGAAGGACGGTAGAGCGGAGCCGAAGCAGCCAATGAGAAGGACTTCAAAAGTACCTGAGGGGACTAACAAGCCGAAGGCAGCTCGGCGACACCCTGAAGAGCGACTGGTCTGCCAGCCCACGGCTCTGGTGGTGGAACCGAAGTCTGTAGCGGTACGAGGGATTCTGGTAGAAAATGCCGTGGTGGATACAGGCGCGCAGAGTGTGTTGCTGGGAAGAAAGCTGACCGAGCAGCTAAAGGCGCAAGGAGGTTGGGAAACAGTGAGACGGGGAATACTGATCATGACCGCAGAGGGAGGGGCTCCCAAGTGGATGCCATGCACTAAGGATCTGATTGAGATCACGCTGCAGCCGGGGGGGGAGGGAGAGACAACGATAAGGGTGCAGTGCGGACTGACGGAATCAGACGACTACGACATTTTACTGGGAATGGAGTTGCTCTACAAGATAGGGACTACGATATGCACCTGGCAGGAGCAAGTGCTATACCGCTCGGATTTCTGGGAGGAAGGGAAGGAGCTGAGTGAGCTGCCAGTGCGTTTCATCAGGACTGAACCAAAGAAAGCCTGGAGGGCAGGAGGCATGGGGAGGGGAGGAAGTACAAGCGGTGGGAAGATCATGGAAATCCAGCCGGGGGCAAGCATAGACCAGTACAGTGTCACACTGGTGGAGCTGTTCGGGGGGCTGGGAGCCGGTTTAGCAGCAGCACTAGAGGCCGGTCTGAGGGTGAAGAAGTGGATCTATGTGGAGGTGGATCCTGAAGTCAGGAGGATGGCCTGGAAACACGCACAGGTACTGCAGCAGCGGTACCCCGCCCAGCTGAGGAAAGATGTGGTGAAGGAGGCCATGCAGAACAAGAACTGGGATGTGAAGCAGATTACCAAAGAAGACGTAAAGAATTGGGGAAAAGTGGACCTGCTAGTGGCCGGCTGGGAGTGCCAGGGTACCTCGAGGGCAGGGAAGGGGAAGGGATTGCAAGATGAGCGCACAGGGTTAGTGACCACGCTACTGGAAATCATGAGGTGGATGAAGGAGGTAGGAGGAGAGTACGCTTACATTCTAGAGCACGTGGATATGAATGGTGATGCTAGGGAGCCGGTCCGAGAAGTGCGGGAGCTGGTGGAAGCAGAATTGGGAAAGGGAGTTAGATGTGACGGGGCGCAGCTGGGGGCACTAACGCATCGGGTGCGGCGCTTCTGGCAAAATGTCCTACCTGAAGGGGAGCTTCGGGCTCGGTTGGCAAAAGTAGAAAGAGATGGGACTAGGATTGTGGAGGACATCCTCGAACCAGGGAGGGTAGCTACGCCAGTGGTCAAACCAGATCACCCCCTGCAGTACCAGTGCAACCGAGTAGGGGAAGCGCGAAGAGCCTGGCCGACGTTAGTGGCTTACGCGAAAGCACGAGGCTTTATTGAGCAGGACGGGAACCCCGGCCCAGGGATGGTGTATGATCACCGTAAAGGGAAGTGGGAAGAGCCAACCGCCTTGGAACGCGAGCTAGCTATGGGGTACTTTCCAGGAGCCACTGCAGCAGAGGGAGTGGGGGAAGAGACTCGTCGAGCAGCTTTGGGCAGGGCGATTGATCAACATTCTCTGAGATGGTTGGTAACTGAGATGCGGAAGGGTCCAGGGCAGCAGGGAGGGAAGCAGGAAAGGCAAGGGGGTCAGTGCTATAAGCAAGCAGCATACGCAGCAGTCGAGAAGATAACCGCTAAGGGGAGCACTACAAATACGCAGGCAGGGGTCAAAGACATGGGAGCAGGCAAGGAATGGGAGATGGGAGCTGACATAAAGAAGGAGGTAGCAGAAGCAATCAGACAGGTACTGCAGCAGCACAGAGGTACTTTCGCATACAACTTACAGGAGCTGGGAAGATACAAAGGGAGAGAGTTGGAGTTAAACTTAACCACGGAGCTGCCCACTTATCAGCGCAGGAGGCGGATGAATGTGGAAGATGCGGCGATCTGCAAGGAGAAATGCGCGGAGCTGCTGGCAGCAGGGATAATACGCCCG